TAACGGTCATTTTGTTGAGCAGTTTAGAGAATCATTTTCAGCAAGTTTTCAAATCAAAGCCCTTTTTATGGTTTAAGTGCAGGGTAAATCTGATCGATTTTCCCTCATTGTTGCAAAGCTCTTAAACAATCTCTCTAGGCGCAATTTCATTTGGTTGGCGCTTCAAGTAAAACGTTACTGTTTTCTGATAAATTCGTAAACAGATGTTAGGGGGAAACAGATAGAAACTTTATGAGGAAGTTATATACAGAAGAAGTTTATACAGAAGTTCCTCTTGACTTTTTTGCATGTTGCTGTTTTCTTCACCAAATTCAAACCAGCTTGAACGTTTTCAGAAACCTTTAGTTTGCGTGTAGGATACTTAGATGTCGATGGAAAAAAATTGTAGGGTTTTGAACCGGTTTTTCTGCACTCCTACACACCACCCTCAGACAAAATGGCCAATCTTGGATCACCCAGTATGCGAACTGAGCGACTTTCCAGGACTTAGTTTACACAGGAAATTCGCTCTGGCAAAATCAATTTTTCGAGCGAAAGAGCGCAGCTTTGATCTGGCCTGGTTATGGTTAAGGCAAAGGAAACTGGATCAGTCGCACGCACGGTTGTCTGAACTTTTTAATTTCCTGTCTGCTCCTCAGACACACGCCTTTAGGGGCGATTTTTACACTTCGACGACTCGAACTAGTGTTGGATAACTGTTTTGAGGCGCGAATAAACTTTAATTTCAAACACTCTCAGCTGCAGGTTTGCATTGAAGAGCGACTGAAGATAGTTGCCGCTTGCGGCTCGGGTTGCTATATTATGAAGTAAAAACTGCTGATTTGAAGCTGATTCATGGATCAATTTTTTTCCAGAAGAACCAAAATGACACTGATAAATGACTGGCTGAGTGGAACCCGTTTGGGTGCTTGGATTCAACGCTGCCGCGAGTCCCGCCGCCTCGTCCTCGTCATCGTCGCCATCGCGCTTCTATTGGACAACATGCTGCTTACCATTGTTGGTAAGTTGTGGGAAATGAGAAAAATCGGCTTAATTCGAACGGATGTGCATGCTTTAGAAAAGAGCAGGTGTTGTAGTAGAGCTTGAGATGTTGAGGCAACAGACGTAATTTAGGAAATTTATCTTCAATATATATCGCCTGATGGCGTCAAAGCTGTTGAGGAAAATTCGCCAGTCTTTTTACAACAAAGTGTCAAAAGACACTGATCAATGACTGCAAATAGCCAGCAAAAGAACGAAAATACAACTACTTTAGAGCGAATCTCCTCTAAAGAAACCAGTGATTTTTTTGCTAATTGTGCAAACTGTGTTTCAATTCCAAATCAAAATCAATTCCTGGGCTT